GCCCTCACAAATCTAATTAGTGGAGAAAGTCTGATGACCTCTGTTATATCAATAATTGTATTCAGTACTATTGTGAATATTAACTTCAAAAGACAGTATTCGAAGGCCAAACCCCTAGGTAAGGACCCCCTTTTTTTTCTCAATTTCTTAAAATAAGATTTCTGGATTTTCTGAAAGCTGACGTGAGTTTCATAATATCTTGCCATAAACTATGCTTATAGATACAAAGTAGTATTAGTAAAGTATGGGTGCAGTGGCACATGCCTGTCATCCCAACAGCTCAGGAGGCTAAAGCAGGAGGATCGCAAGTTCAAAACGAGCCTCAGCAAAAACAAGGTGCTAAACAACTCAGTGAGACCCTGTCTCTAAATAAAATTCAAAATTGGGCTGGGGATGTGGCTCAGTGGTCAAGTGCCCCTGAGTTCAACCCCCGGTACACCCCCCGCCCCCCCAAAAAAGAAAGAAAATAGTATTATATACTGATTTACCCTTTATATAGTGCTGCCACCACAGCTTCCTTATTTAATTAATATCAGTTGTGGTTTTGTTGTGAATATGGATAGGAGCTTTTTCTAAGGATGCCTAAAAGAGCCAGATTCCCCAGACCTAGTCTAAACCAAAATGCTTGACAGGGATGTGAGTAGGGGCTGTTGTTAAGGTGCTGCAGAACAGCTAAGAGGATAAGCCAAGATGTATATTTACTAGTAGTGGGAGGAGACAGCTTCCCTTCCATTTGCCCTGGGACTATCTCCCAGGAGTATCATAGAAAGAGGTCAACCCAGGGAAAAAGTGAGTTACATAACCATCTACAGGGCCAGAGAGCAGTGCTGCGGACAGCAGCGGTGCCGTAAGTGCTCTCATTCACCCTTTTCAGATAACCCTGAAACATGAGGGATTTCCCACCCTTTACCATATGCACATGTGTGCATAAAATAAATGACATATGTGCATTATAATAAGTGATCTTAAAATATATCTGTGTAATTATCACTCAGGACAAGAAACAGACTGCTAAACTTGTAGAAGCATTCTTACTTATTCCCCCTCCCTGGTATTTTTGGTATTGGGGATAGAACTCAGAGGCACTTAATTTCTGAGCCACATCCTCAGCCCTTTTTTATATCACTGAGTTGCTTAGGGCCTTACTAAGTTGCTGAGGCTGGCTTCAAACTCA